GTACTTTGTACATTCTGCATTAAATGTTACATGTATTAACATTCACATCATAATCACATTAACATTGAATATATACAAGTCATAGATGCATATGGAGAAATTTTAAGCAATAACCGGGAATTAATGATGATAGATTCACAACAATTTGAAAAATCATTATTTTTCAATAGCTCGTGTTTGGTATAATTTGTTATTTTATTTTTTTATTTATTTTTATCCTGAATTGAAAACAAGTTTGATCCCTTATTTATAAAACTCATTACTCACAAAGTGTTCTTAATGTTTACAGAGCATGATTAAAGATGAAAACCCAAAACTACGAACCAAACTCATTAATCCTTGCATCAAGCCTGCAAATCAGTACCAATATTTGCACTTCCTGCTCCACTTTAAGTATCATTGAACCATAGTAGTCAGCGACATGGATGATTGAGTGTGGAAGCACTACAATTCAATAAGGCCCATAGATGGTTTTGAAGACATACACTTAGCTCAAGCAAGCACAGTGGTAATTTAAACATTTCATTCTATAATACGCAGAAATGTGCGTGTTAAGTTACACATTAACACAATTAAAATATTATTTATTCTATACATCTAATCATATTCACAATTACATAAAACATATATGGAATCACATACTCGGAAATTGCTCTCAACATCGGATATGAAAGATACATTGACACCCTCAGACTATGTCAAGCCATTGCAATTAGTTGCTGCATGCCTTCAATAAGATCCAAACTCATGAGTATTTACAATTAATACTCTCATTGACATAGCACCTACAACGAATGTGAACATAAGAATGTATTGATTATGTATTTTATTTTATTTTTCCTATAGTCTTAATTGTGGAGTTGCACTTTGCTACATAATGAGGCAACATGCCCACAATGAACCGATTGAACCTGTGTTGGACAAGGAAGCTTGGTTTTGTAAGAGAGCTGTGTTAGTCGAAACATTCTTGAATGATCTTGGAAGAACAAATCATGTAATTTTTGTTGTTGACACCAAAGAGGATGCATCTCAGGAGTGAAATTCATATTTTCACACCCCACCTTTTGTTTTGATATATTGATGACACAATGTTAACATCACGTTTTGTCTAAGTACAATATGTTTTGTATATAATATACCAGTCACTAACATGTGAACTTAGGTATTCTTAGTTAGTAAACAATAATTCAACAAAGTTATTGATATGAATAGCTATATGCATTTTGTTTACCAAGAAATATAGTTTTAATATGAATGTTCTTTCTTGGTCTCATTCATAGTGTATGGGTATTGTTAGTCATTAAATGTGTTTGTCATATGCTCACATACATGAATCATGTGCATATATCATATGAAAGTTCAAATACATATATCATATGCTCACCTTGCCAACACATATTGGTGATATATGTAACTTTTGTACATTTTATTTTGCAAAAAATCAAAACAAACTATTTCAAAAAACAAAGAAAATGTAAAGAAACTACAAAAATCAAAAAATTCATAGAACAAATCACTTTTTATTGACAAATTATATCAAAATATGAAAATGCACATTAACAAGCTTGCACCAACAAGTATACCAACACATAAATTACTAAATTGTGCACTACTGCAAATGTATGTAAGATTCACAACAAAATCTTATTTATCTAAAACAAATTGTGCACTGTAAATATTCACAAGTCAATGTAATATTCACAACGATAATCAACACATGAACTAATAGAACTTTATATTTGATCTTTACACAACTTTGATTGTGGCTGCCTATCTTTTTACATTTACCACACCTCAAATCTGCTCAAAAACATAAATCATATTCCACCCATCAACACATATTGTCTATAGATGTAAGAAGATAACATTTTATTTTGTTAAAACTGAAAAATAAACTATTTCACAAATAAACAAAATGAAAAACAAAAACTACAAAATAACAAATTGCATAGAACAAATGAATCCCTTTTTATTGAAAAATTGTTTCGAAATACGAAACAAGTACACCAACACATCAACTAATCAAATATGTATCAAATGCAAATGTATGTAACATTCACAATGATATCTTATTTATCTAAAACAAACAAGCATTGTAAATGTTTAGAACTGAATGTGAAATTTACAACGTTCACCAACATATCAACAATATAACTCTGTATTGGCTCTTTGCACAACTTCCGATTCTGCCTGCCCATCTTTACACATCAGCCACACCGGATTTGACTTACTTTTTCCCCTCAAGAGGGTACTCCAATCTTTCTCAGCCTACTAGCTGGCCATTTTACAATTGGAGGTAATATGATGAAATTACTAGAAGAAAAAGTTGGTTTCTCCACAGATGGTATTGGGAAAATAGCCGCTGCATATGCTTCCTAATAATTCTCCACATGAAAATATTTTTCAACACAATCATTAAGATTATATGCACTTCTTTGGATAGCCGCAACAACATGTTCACAAGGAAATCCATTTACTTGCCACTGGTAGCAAGAACAAACACGGCGTCCAATATCAACTGTAACTGATGGAAATGAATGCAACTTGAACACATCATCATTAGCTTTACTCACATTCCATGACCTACTAGTATTGAATGAATCCTAGAGCGTAGTCTTAAAGGTAGGGAAAACAAGTCCATTTCACTTGTTTTCAAGTTCCCTCTGCTCTAGCATTTGACACATTATTTGATTCCGAACAATATCAACCAATTTTGTTATTGAAAGATTTCGTGCTTCTTTGATCCAATTGTTGAATGATTCAATAGCATTGGATGTTATCTTTCCATATCGTTGTCGTCTGACATATAACAACAAAAATTGTCACATGTTAATAACATATGTGACATTTCACACTGCTAGAACACCACAAAAATATAAACAATGTACAGATAACCATCATTATATTCCATGAAATACACAATTGTACACACTATACCTAAAGTAAGCATTTGCCCAATGTTCAGGTTCCAACATTGACAAGAAGTTATATGCTCGTTGCTTCCCCTCTGTAACGCCCAGATAAATACAATAAATCCCAACTCATGAGCAGAAGAATAATAGAAACAATATACTTTCATTCATCTGAGTTTAATATACATGAGAGACTGGTATGAGAAGGAATAAAAGTTATACAAACATTCATTTGCCCTAATGGCTTACATCTTCCCAAGTCGCTGCTTGTTTATAACAAAAATGAGCCTAACTCAATCACAAATTAAAGCCCTTGGCTATACAAAATAGATACGACAAAAATAGAAGCTATTGCTATGAATCCCTCCAAGCTACTGCCTTGGCGGAGGCATATCACCAACACTTGAAAACAGTTTTTCCCAAATAGGGTGAGCCAAAGCCCAGTAGAAACAATCTAACAAAATATATGAGTTTTAATGAAGATATAAGTAGAGTGTGCATATACAATGTCCGCAGTAAAATCATTCAAGTTTTTACAAAGTCACAATATGCCAAGTTTTGTATCCCTATTCTTGTTATCTTAATTTCATTCACGTCAATTCATTTCATCGCAACTCATGAGCCAATTTCATTATTTCCTAGACAACCCAACTGAGACTACAACCTAGTGGTGCTCAAAATCAATACCTTAATCACACAAACACTTCAATTTGCCATTTTACGGAAATTTTGTCCCCAGGATTCGGCACCCATGTATACGCGTGATTTTGGGACTTTTGCCCTGGACACACAGGCCAACTTAATTCAATGGATTCCATCCCCTTTCTCCTCCCCAACGTAGAGTACATCCACTTTCTCCTCCCAAACATCATACATATACAATGTATTTAAAATACAGTCATATTCAATGACAACCAACAAGAGATTAGTTTCAATTCACCTAATCCCCGTGTAGTTTCTACAACAATCATAGCTATCTTCCACCGATAGCCCAATACTAATATTTCTAAACAGATATTCAATCTCAAGACAAATAATTTATTCAAACTTTCGTAAATGAGTGATAATACATATTCTTCTCCATCATTTATGTTCATATCCATTCAATTTCATATTTCCAATCCCAATCCCATTTGTTTATACAAAATAAATATTTGAAGCATTTTAGGGCAAATTCCTTCTTTCTTAAATATCAACCTAAATGCCAAAATCAACTATTTTTTCATAATATAACCTCATATTAAACCCCATTACCATTTATAACCCATTCACTTTGAAACCCCTCTTTTGATTAAATACCCAAACCCTAGGTTTGTTAATAGTACACCCAAATTCTACCATTTTTACACAACAACCCATAACTAAGTTAAATTTCATATAAGAGTGTAGAAAAATCCCAACCTCAAAGAGAGAAGACGAGCACGGAAAAAATGAAACTTCAAAGATGCTCAAACCCAACTCTATTTGGATCAAAATGAAGATCTTGAGATGCTCACTTTTTTTAACAAAGGCAAGTGGGTAGAGAGATCACTAGAACTAGGTGAAAATGTAGAGAGAAAGAGTGTTTTAGAGAGAGAAGGTCCTGATCTAGGGTTTTTAGGAAAAAGGAGTATGAAAAATGATGTAAAAAGTTACTTTCGTGATCTAATATACGCACAGTCCGCTCAAGCGCAAGAAGTGACGCTCGAGCATTAGACACAATAAGTTGTTCCGCTAGAGCTCAAAATATACGCATCTAGTAGTTTTGCAGACAATAAACCAAGGCTCGAGCATGAGAAAATACTGCTCGAACGCCCACCCGCTCGAGCATAGGAAACGCCGCTCGAGCATAGAATACACTCTCCCAGTAGTTTTGCAGACCTGCAAAAGTACTGAGAGAGCTCAAGCCGAGGACCAAAATCCTAGGCAACAAAAGTTTGAAAACTAAGCACTAACCTATTCCAAACATGCTCGATACAACTCAATAGTCAAACTTAAGTAAGAATAAGAGGGAACAGACATGATTAACCATACGAGGCTATGAAACCCGAGTTCAGAACACAAAATGGGTTGTGTCTAAACCAGAAACGTTATACCACTACTCTTTAACTATTCTAGTAATGTATGAAAACCCGTCACAGTAGGTTCAGATGCACAATCACTCAACTTCCCTATTAGGTGTTCCTTGAAACCATTCTCCTTACCTTTTAACTTGTCACTAAACTTATTCTTTAGGTGTTGTAAACACCATCCACGATATGCTAATGGGAATGCCTTTGGCATTGCTTCCAAAAGGCCTAAGTTATGATCAAATACAAACGTCAAGCATCTATCATCAGTAATTACCTTTGACAATTCATATAGAAACCATGACCAATTGGATTCACTCTCCGAATCAACAATTGCAAAGGCTACTGGAAACAATTCGAAAAACAAAACCACTGTTAATAGTCACATCTGACACACAAAAAGAAAACAAATGTAAAACTTCACATCAAAAAGCTAAACAAATCTTGATTATTGTCTTTAGCTATTGTTGCAAGCAATTACCCTTTGTATCTCCCATTTAGAAATGTTCCATCAAAAAAAAAAAAACAAAGGGAGACAATATTTAAAGCCAATGATGCATGCAGTGAATGCTACAATAAACCTTTTAAATTGGCTTGTCTTCAAATCATAGTCAATATTGATATGACTTCCCAAATTATAAACGCTTAACAGCATCACCGTACCATCTCAATTGGTCAAATGATGTTGTGTAATCACCATGCATAGCCTTCCTCGCCTTCTCAACACCTAACCATGCAACATGGTAGCTGATATCAAGTCCATAGACTGCCTTGAAAGTATATGCCACATCAGTGGGGCACGTTGGTGGTCTGTCCCTAACACGTTCAGATACAATATTTGACACTAAATCAGAGCTGAGGCTTGGATTTTTTGAAGTACGAACATCAGCACCACAACTATGTGTCTTAATCCATCTCTTGAGGCAGAAAAATTGGTTTACTCTTTGGGCTCTGCCGTGCATAGACCACAAAACATCCCCTATCATCTCTATGTGAGCATACAATAGTAATTCGTTTTAAATCATTCTTCAATATTTGAATTTAAACCCATCAATATGCGTAATACCATTTGCCCAAACTGCAGACAACAAAACCTTTTCACTGTGTGCACAATATCTACGAAGCAAATTTCCTCATGTTCAATGCGTATATTTGCTAAACTACTATGTCCATCAATGCCTGATGTGTGCTCAACAACAACATCAATTCGGTCAACTCCAATCGATTTACCAAACAATAACATATTTTGAATTTCCTCATTGTTATCTAAATGACAATTCTTATACCCCGTCAATCGGTAAAACATAGTGATTGAATTGGCAGACAAATCAGACCATTTGTTGGACACACTGTAGACACCTCATTTTTGACCGTCCTTAAGACTTGGGCGTCACTAATTGCTTACTTGGTGATGAAAGTTGTGTAGTGCAAAGGTTCGATTTCTTCGGCAAGAGGAGAGTCAAATCCTAACCTCACACCCCATTTTGGACCAAAGATATTTTGAATGGTTTTTAGACCTTAAAACCTCTCTTTCAAAATATTTTTGAAAATAGGTTCCTACGATGTTCCGACGCTCACATTTTGTTAAATGTTGCGCTTTTCGGTAAACCTAGTAAGGACAAAGTGGAAATGAATGAAAGAGAGATGAAATCTTTGAAAAATCTTTCAAAACACCTTGTTTAGGGGTTTGGAGTTGAAGAAAAGAGGAGACGAGAGAAGAAAACTGGTTTGGGAGAAGTTCAGCATGAATCCGGGAAGGATCGAAACTGAGTGGCTTCACCAAAACAGACATAACTTTTTGCACAACTGGAATTTTGATGTGAGGCTGTCACCATTGGAAAGCTTACTTCTGGGGATTCAATTTGGACGCAATAATGACCTTAAAAGGAGTCCATATGAAAGAGATATGCCCATTTGAAGTTTGACTTGCAGAGCAAATTTTTGCTGTCGGCCAGAAAAGTAACCGGTCGGCCAGTTAAGGTGGCTGGGCAGCCAGTTAAAGTAGCTTACTAGCCACTTTTGTTAAAAATTCATTTTTTTTTTGCAGATCTTTCTTCTCCAGCTGTTATACACTGCTCCAGATATTTCCAAACTCAGATATTTCGACCAAAGCTCCATTTTTGCTATATATGGAGCCATATCACTCATTTTGGGAAAAAAGAACAAGAGAGCAATTGTGGGAGCCTCTCTCTCTAAAAAAATCCTCTCTCTCTAGAAAATTTTCAGAGCTAAATCTCTGTGTCTCTCTCTAGAGTTCACTCGCTCTTACCCTTGTGTGCATACAAGAGATACACTTGGAGATACGCCTCTCCTTGGCCTAGGCATCCTTGATCAAACTTGATCACAATTGGGCTGAGATCCCTTGAAGCCTATTTTGAGCTCTCAAAGCCGGTTTAAGCTCATAATTTTGGCCATTTTGCTGCTGTGCTTCAAGGGTAAGCACTTCATCTTTTCAAGCTTGTTTTTGCACACTTGCTTTATCCCCCACTTTCCATTGTTTTGTACTATTTTGGGGCTGGTTTTGAACCATAAAAAACTCTGATTTTGAGGTCCTAAAATGGTGGTTTAAGCCTTGTTTGGCTAGGGGCTGTTTCCTCCCTTTTGCTCTCTGGCTTGTAAGGCCTTTTAAGCTATCTTTCAAGCTTTTGCAACCATCTCTTTTTGGCCCTTTAACCACTGAATTCTAGAGGAATTTTAGTTGTGGAAAGGTACTTTTGAGGCCCAAAATGTGAGGGGGTGGTCCCTCCTCCTCTTGTCTTGTTAGCATGTGTTGTTGGCCTACCAAATGAGCATGTGTTTCTACTTCTTTGTGGCTTTGTTCAAGCACTTTTTTTGTGATTTTTTAGACCTACCATAATTCTATTTTTGGCTTGTTTGATCATTGGTTGCTTGCTCTTTTCACTTGTAGTGTAATCTTGCTCACTAGACTTGCATGCCTAATGAGTAAGCTTGTTATTCTAGCAAGTATTGGCTTCACTCCAGCATGTTTTTGGTGTTATTTTGACATGCTTTAAATCTGATTTTAGTTGGTGGGGTGATCTCTTGCTTGGTTTTTGTACTTGTAGTGCAATCTCACTCATTAGCCTTGCATGCTTAGTGTTTTGGCCTATTGTTTTAGCTTGTTTTGGCTCTATTTTAGCATGCTTTTGGCCTTGATTTAGCATGTTTAAACTCTGTTCCAAGTGGTCTTGGTCATGTACGGCTTGCCTTGTAGGGCTATAGTGTAATTGGCTTTGCTAGTCTTGTGTTTTGAGACCCCTAGCATGCCTTATTTGTGATGTTTGTATGATATGGCATCATTTGGCATGGTATTTCAGAGCATATACTTCTATCATACTCTCATGTTTATCACTCTTTCATTGTGTTTAAGAGTTGTGCCCTTATACCTAATTTGTGAGCCAATGCATGAGTATATTTTTCATGCCATCTATGCTGCAAGTCTAGCATGCTTTTGTTACAATTTCAACCTACCTTAGGTCTATTTTGAATGGTTAAGGCCATTTGAGCATTGCTTAGTACGGTTGTAGTGTAAACGACCTTAACTAGCCTTGAGTTTTGGGGCCTTTAAGATGTTGTGTATGTGTTGTTTGCATGGTATGACACCATTTGGTATGTAATTTTAGAGCTTATATCTTTGCCATGCTTTCACATGTTTTCACTCTTTAAATGCTTTTGGAGAGTTGTGCCTTATGCCTTGATCATGAGCTAATTTGTATGCATAATTGTCTAAGCTTTTGAGCCAAAGTTTCAACATGATTAGGCCATTGTTTTGGCACATTTAACCTCTGTCCGAGGTTGGTTTGGTCATTTAGACTTAGTATTGTATGCCTATAGTGTTATGCTCTTTGCTGGCTTCAATGCTTTCGACTCCGAGTATGTCTTGCATGCATCATTTCCATGCTTTGATGTCATTTAGCGTCCTTTTTCAGTGCTGGAATATGTGCCATTGCATTCCATCTTTCATTTATTATATCACTTTCAAAAGTGGACTTAAGCCCTTTGTTGGTTGAGCATGAGATTGAGGCGTTCATGCCTAATGGTTTTAGCCTTCTCTTGAGGATTTCTACTAATTAACGGCATGATGCTTCTTTCATGCTTAAGAAGCTTGTGGCTTGGTCCATCTTTCCCATTAGAGGACTTTCACATTGAACTAAACCGGTTAATGAATGACTCGATAATTTTAAAATGTGTAAACAAGAATTGAGCAAAGTAAAACATTCAAGATAAGCATGTTGTTTGCATTGCATTGTGTTTGGATCGGATGTTAATCTGAACACAAGGAATGTGGCACGTTTCATACTCAAAGTGATGAAATGTGTTGCGTTTCTTGGTCGTTGTCACCCTTGATCATGCATGATAGGGTGACAACACTTCGAGTCTTGTTTGTGCATTCAATAACATTGTGCAAGCTTGGCTTTTTGGCCATCATGCATTGAGATGTGTGATTGGTGGCTTAGAGGCCGAGTACTATGCTCCTTTGAGCTTGAGAAATGATAAGGAGAGTAGTTCTACATACATTTCCATGCAAATGCATTGCTGTGCCTTAGTTGATCTCTGTTGCAGCAAAATTTGGATTCTAGAAAGGGAAGTTGCCAGCCAGCCACTTGCACTAGCGTGCCGACCACTTGCATTGGCAGGCCGGCCAGTTGAGGCAGCCTACCGACCAGTTGAGGTGGCCGGCCGGCCACCTGCAGCAAAATTTTCCAAAATGTTCCTGTTTTGGGGCAAATGCAACTTGAAAGTGTGTTTGATGCTCTGAGGTCACCGCGAGTACAAACAGAGACAACTTATGGCAAGGCAATGCATTTCTGGGCGAAGCGAACCGAGCATGCATGTCTCCCTCCCCCGAGGCCATTTTGTAATTAATTAGTTAATGTGTTTAGCTGATTCAATTCATCTTTGTAATATTCTAATTAGCTTAGATTGGCTAGTTATTCATTTTCAATTCGGTTTGTAATTAATTAGCTAGAATAGTTAGTTAATTAGTTGATTTGTAAGAAGTAGCTTAGCTTAGCTCTTGTTCATTTGGACCCTTCTTCGAGAGGGTGTACTATTGTAATAAGTGTGCGTGTGTGTGTGCTTGTCTTCCAACCCCACATCTTTCTCCCTTTTACTTATCAGCTTTTGATGGTTAGTTTAGGGATCATTTTCAATTAGCATACCTTATGCTTGCATGCGTGCATCATTCATTTGTATTGCATGTACGGGGCTCGGCGCATCATTCAAACTGCATCGTATTTCAATACTTTTTTGAATACATATATCGTATTGTCGCATTCATATGCCATCTTAGATAGCCGAGCCTATTTAGTTGCATTTTGCATGTGTTGCATTAGGCATCCTAACATTGCTAGGATCATGCATGATTTCTAACTAGTTTTATGTTTTGGCTTGGAGTACACTGTAAGTGTTTACGCTTTAGCATATTGCATGAGTGTAAGTGTTGCCATGTTAGCATGATTTCCATAAGGCTATTTGCTTAATTGCTTAACTGCATGAATGCCTATGGATGCAGGCTTCATTACTTGAATTCGAACAATTCATCAAAATGTGAGTTTTAAGCCCACTTTGCGAAGTAGCAAAATCTTGTTTTCAAGCCCACTTGAGGGTGGAAAATCCACGCTTTAGCCTACTTGCGAGTAGCATTTTCAAACCATTTTCAAAAACAAACATGAGTTGTTTTGTTCCAATTCTCGTGACTGAGTCTATACTTATAGGCTGTGCGCATCACATAGTAAGATTAGTTAATAACCGGAATAAGAACACATGTGTTTATAAAACAACATATCATGATTAGTAGAGGCCGATCCTTTGATCGGGCGAGCGGGGGTGCTCATTTCATGACCTTCTCCCTTCGTACCTAAGTTCTCGAGCCGAGGCAACTTTGGTGATAACGGACACATGGCCTTAGGCACGAGTCAGGGTTTCCTAAATTTCTCAAAATAAAACATTTAGGTGGCGACTCTATAATCTGGCAAAGCAGTCC